AATAAAAAATCTAAACATTTCATGACATTCTTTCTTTTTAGTTAATTAGTATTTTGTCCTCTCGGAATATAGAATTGACAAAATTTCAAAATACAAAGAATTATTTTTATGCTCTTGTATTTTGAGAAAGGAACTATGTTATTATATTACAGATTTTTATTATCCTTTAATAGAGTTTACTTGCACGCACTGAAATACAGAACTTCATATTATGGGAAATGTATAAACATTATCAAAGAAAGCCTTAATGGAGATGAAATATTTATTATTATATTGGCCTAAATATTATTAAGTTTGTGATGTTGTGACCTTGATCCATTTTTAACTTATCTTTTTTATGACAAGATCATTTAAAATGTAGTTTTAGTACAGACACAAACTGTATTTGAAGTGGAAGTATTAAGCAATTGATAGGTTAATTCATATTTTTACATTGTGTATATCTAATACATGTTTATCTATTCACCGCCTTTTCTCTTTTTATAATTCTAAATCCTGTTTTGTTAAAAAAAAAAGATTGTGAAAGATAAGGATCGGCAAATTATCGATCTAATGACAATATATTGCCATTATAAAAAAAAAAAATTGGATGCATATTTAGTGATTCCGTCGTTCAGGTTACCTCCGACGTTTAATATTTTTAATTTTTCATATTTGTTGGTCCCTAGTATACCCGATGAAGATATTGTTTTTTGTATTTGAAGATTATTCAAGAAACACGTCTTGTCCACATGATTACCATATCATACGGTCCCGAACGCACAATCACCAAGACACCAGCACTTTAGTATGGCATGACTCAAATATAATAATTCTCTTTACAATTTTAGAACAAACTGTGTGCAATTTTATTAAAACCCATCCCCAAGACGAACTTGACCTCACACAGCTCTTCTATCTAGATCCTCAAGAGTTTTATCTGTTTCGTTTTCCGATGATTTTGTTTCCAATAAACCTGATGTCAATTATTCTAGAAACCCGTGCTAACACAATGATACCTCATATCATATCCTCCTTTTTTGACCAAAATATCTATCTTCAAAATACATAAAACACTTAATTAAAAACGAGGGACGAAAGATACCAGAGGGACAGTCAAACTCATAGATCGAAAACAAACTGACAACGCCATGGCCAAAAATAAAAAGACAAACAGACAAATAATAGTGCAGATGACACAACATAGAAAACTAAAGACTAAGCAACACGAACCCCACCAAAAACTGGGGGTGATCTCAGGTGCTCCGGAAGGGTAAGCAGATCCTGCTCCACATGTGGCACCCGTCGTGCTGCTTATGTTATTACAAATCCGGTAAATAGTCTAATTCGGTAAGTCACATTCGTGAAAAGGGAAGGGTATTGTAGTTACGAAATAAGGAACATATCCGATATCATCTGTGAAACGGTTATTCCATAACAGTCAACCAACTCGTGATGGCGTCCGTAAAATTTACGAAGGGATGATTTCAACTTCACCATTTAATTAAACTAAGGCAATGGAAACTCTATCTTAAAGGAAACGATCATGTTTCTGAAAACGTCTTCATGTTCTGGCAACAAACAATTGGAAAATGACAACATGGCCTTAATGACAAATTTAAAGTTCAATCAATAAAGGATACATACAAACATGCGAATATCAAAATCTAGGTCAAGTTTACTGTTCCTAAGGGAATCGCAACCCCAGAGTTTGTAAAATTGTACAAATATCACTAGCGGCCGAGTTCAACAAAGTCTTTTGATAAAATTTGCAATGTGTCTCAACAGAATTTACCATGCAATCAGAAAGAAAAGATATCAAGGAGTCAATCAAAACACAAAAGTAAAATTAAAACAAACAGTACTGTTGACGAACATTATTTTTTCAAATTCACTTTGAAATATTTGACATCAATAAATATTCCTCAATTAATGAAAGCTACATTGTTTAATCCGATTTGAGTTTACAATTCTACAAATAATTCCTGTTTGATATATATTATATGAAAAACAAATTGTCTGAGATAATGTCATAAATATTTGATTTCTTGTCTTAAAACCATAATGACATTGTTGATGAGAAATCATGTTAGCGAACGATTGGGAACTTAATTATATTGGTATTGTTAAGCTGTCCATACCGTTTTAGTACATACTTGTTTTGGTAAGAAATGCAATTCATTATTTTCAAAAGATGTCAATAAATACATATTTTTTTTTTAATTATTTGTGGAATTATCACTGTCCCAGATTAGGGGAGGGTTGAGTGCTCACAAACATATTTAACCCCGCCACATTCTGTATTTGCCTGTACCAAGTCAGGAGCATGTAGTTCAGTGGTTTTCGTTGGTTCATGTTTGTCATAATTGTTTTTCGTAAATTGTTTTGTTATAAATTAGGCCGTTAGTTTTTTCAATTGAATTGTTTCATGTTTTCCATGTCGGGGACTATTGTTTTGTCTTTTCTTTGTTTTATGTGTAGTATATAGTGGACTATTGTTTTGTATTTTCTTTGTTTTATGTGTAGTATATAGTGGACTATTGTTTTGTATTTTCTTTGTTTTATGTGTAGTATATAGTGGACTATTGTTTTGTAATTTCTTTGTTTCATGTGTAGTAAATAATGGACTATTGTTTTGTCTTTTCGTTGTTTTTTAATATATCAATGGTGTTGTCCGTTTTTAGTCAACTAATAATTAATAATTCCCATTTTGTGTATTCTCACTTTTTATGGATGCATGATTATAATGTTGTTATCCCAAAGTCTTTTGAAATTTTATTCTATGCTTTTAAAAAATGTATATTAGATTAAGCCTTATAAAAACCTACACATTTTTCCAACTTCATTCAGTGATTTCAACTTTGAAATTAATGCAAAATAGTTCGATTAGAATACACATAGGAGTCGTTCAATGTTCTATACAACATCATTGATGACATTACTATATGATTGTCCATATAACATAACTGATGACATTACTATATGATTGTCCATATAACATCATTGATGACATTACTATATGATTGTCCATATAACATCATTGATGACATTACTATATGATTGTCCATATAACATCATTGATGACATTACTATATGATTGTCCATATAACATCATTGATGACATTACTATATGATTGTCCATATAACATAACTGATGACATTACTATATGATTGTCCATATAACATAACTGATGACATTACTATATGATTGTCCATATAACATCATTGATGACATTACTATATGATTGTCCATATAGCATCATTCATGACATTACTATATGATTGTCCATATAACATAACTGATGACATTACTATATGATTGTCCATATAGCATCATTCATGACATTACTATATGATTGTCCATATAACATCATTGATGACATTACTATATGATTGTCCATATAACATCATTGATGACATTACTATATGATTGTCCATATAACATCATTGATGACATTACTATATGATTGTCCATATAACATCATTGATGACATTACTATATAATTGTCCATATAGCATCATTGATGACATTACTATATGATTGTCCATATAACATCATTGATGACATTACTATATGATTGTCCATATAACATCATTGATGACATTACTATATGATTGTCCATATAACATCATTGATGACATTCATATAACATCATTGATGACATTACTATATGATTGTCCATATAACATCATTGATGACATTACTATATGATTGTCCATATAACATCATTGATGACATTACTATATTATTGTCCATATAACATCATTGATGACATTACTATATGATTGTCCATATAACATGATTGATGACATTAATATATTATTGAGTATTATTTGTTGTAATCATTTTAACATCTTCCCATTGACAAAAATCCAAATCGTTTATGAAATTTATTTTTTAGTAATTCGTATACTAAAGAAAGATTTTACTTTGAAATCGACATTTCAAATTATTTCAGAAGATATTCTTACAGTCATCTTATAATTGATTTGAAACAATGAACAACCATAAGCTTGCCTATAAGACCCGATTTAGTCTGATTCAGCAGTACTTCCAAGTTATCGTAATAATTCAATAAAATAATGGAATTTAAGTAAATAGACTTAAATTCAGTTATCGCTGGGGCCACTGACGGATTGTGTTTCATGTTTTAGATTTACCTAACATGAGTGACGTTATATTTTGTGACGTAATTTAGTCCTTTACAGAATTTCATCGCAGCAAGCAAGCTGTTTAAATTTCGTTAGCGGTAAAATTGATAAAAAATTGAAAAGTAGTATCTTGTAAGGGTAAAGTAGTGTTAGTATTGTATGGTTATAACCTGCCTCATGCTTCTAATGTTTATTAGAAGTAATCTTAGAAAGAATTCATTTTATCGATCGTCATTTTTTAACCATTCCATCAGGAATTTCATCGCCACGTGGAGAGCACATGCAAAGACTGAAAGAGATTGGTCCCATTATTCGTTTTCATTTTTAAAAAAATATTTAATTTTTACAAATATGAGTAATTAGATGCAATATTGTCCTAAGATTTGCAGATTATAATAATGATTTCGTCATTGTATTCTACATCAAATTAGATGCATGTATAGTCTGCCTGATACCGATAGGTACTCATATATATATATGACGACGAGTTTAATTTTTTTTTAATATTACTTTTTGTCCGTATCTTATTACTATTGATATTGAGTATTGACAGATCGTCTAGTGCGTATGGTTTAGCTTAACAAATTGTATTTGCGCTGTAATACTAACAGACCATCCAGGTTAGTAATAGTAACGTGTCTATGGTGTTTATGTGTTTTGGGGCAGGCGTTATCTGATGAACTCCCGAATTAAAATTAAAAGGGTATACATCGGGAATGTGTACCTAGATCTTTCATAGCACATATTGATATACAGCAAATATTCCATGAAAGGATATGAACGTACAAAGGTGCAAAGGGACGTAACCTTTGGGCGAAAGGACCCAGGTTCGTAACCGGAAGTTCAACTTTCGATACAAAAAACAAAAATCTTGGAAATCTTGCACAGAGACCCTGCACGGAGTTATAAGCAGTAGCCAAAAATCGTCATGTCTAAATGTTAGCTTGCTGGTGGAGTTTAGCATACATATATCATTATATGTATATATCCTGCTATAAATTTTGCGTGTACCTACACACTTGTTACTGAAAACTGTCAGTGTCGAGTCTGTCAACATCAGTCATCACAGTGACATGTATAGTTGCTACTACTCTCTAGCCTAGACTAGGTCGATATGGTATGAGTAGTTCAGATAAATCACAAATTTAGACATAATGTCATCAACAGGCCACAGCTTGAATTATTGTAATAACATAATTATATACAAATATTACACTATGTCACTATCAACTGACTGTGGATTTAAGAATTAATAAATAATATATACTAATTTTAAATTATTTTTTTTTTAAATTATTGTAACTATCATAAGACACAACTATGAGTATACATAATATTTTAATTGTTATTGTTTCTTTGTACAGTCATTTGATTTTGTTATGTCAATGCTATGTAGCATGGTGGAACTAATATTTACCTTTTGTTGAGTTGTAGCACATGTTGGGAAGATCAGTTAGAAAGCGAAAAGTGCGACCTTGCTTGGCTACAGAACACCACAAGGGTTGTAACAATTGGACCAGAGACATAGACAACAATCAGACAATGACGTGCACAGTTTTTACAGATGGGTCACCAGACTGGACTGGATTCACGACTCATCACGCCACTAACTCAACTCCTTTAGGTCACATACATTTGTACATCGGATCATCATCAGACGTCATTTATGCAAACCCCCAGAGCTCTGCATCAGTATGTTCCATTTGATAATTTACCAGGTAATCGTCAGATTTACAAAAACAGTATATTACTTTTAAGTTAAACCCCTACGTGTACATGTGATTCTAACAAATAACAAACATATGTATAAAGATATAAGGCAACTTTTTTCCAATCTTATGGTTTAGATGTAGATTTGTGTAATGATTATTTCTCAGTTTCTAAACTTAAATCCACAAAATATTGCTGAATGTGTTATTTTTATATGGAATGCCGCATCATTCGTTAGAAATAAGAAACAATTCTTAATAATAAGGTTACAGTTATATATTATTATTATAATTATATATATATAAATATATTACATGTGAAACTTTTAAATTTTGTTTTGTATATTATCATATGATTTGTAACATATGATTTGTAATGCAGAACACTATTGACTAATATAATATTATTATTTATCTTGATAATAATCTGAATATTCCAAATCAGATATGCATGTACTGCATGAATACAGATATTGCAATAAAGTACCACAAATATAAAGGACAAATTTATAGAAGTGAATACTTATTGATCACTATTTTAGGACAGACTGCAAATATTTCTGTTTCTGCCCAAACCCTACATGTATCAACCAGTCTCAGGTGTGTGGGAAATTTTTATTATTTTTTATTTTTTTATATATTTAAGGGAAAATAGGGGCCAAAATGGTTTTATCTTGTAAACAACTTTAAAATGAGACTATTAGAGAGTTTTGTGTAAATTGTGTCAGACGCAGTAAGCGAGGATATATACATGTATGTATGGTTTGAATGGTTTTACACTAGTAATTTTGGGGCCCTATATAGTTCGTTGTTCGGTTTGAGCCAAGGCTCCGCGTTGAAGGCCGTACCTTGACCTATAATGGTTTACTTTTATAAATTGTTATTTGGATGGAGAGTTGTCTCATTGGCACTCATACCACATCTTCCTATATCTATGTACATGTAATTTTAGTAAAACTAGTACAAATTAAGTAATTATTTACAGCTTGTCTTGCAGTCTGCTCCAAACCAGTTAAAAATCTTTAGTATTTAGGTGTCGACAACAGCTTCAATTTATATATATACTAGAATTTATTGTAATCTTCATCCTGGAAGATTCTAGGAGTTGCTCAAGCATATGAGTATCGTACGCTGTACGTTTAGGTGCCAAGCTTTGTTAATTTAGGCTGGAAGCATTATGACGAGCAATTTCATTTACATAAAACCATTGGCCCTACTGGTTCCTAGGCTACAGTTGATTCCAAATTATGGTTGAAATTTATTAATGAAAATTATAGTACAGGTTGAACTTCAGTTAACATGAACACTGGGACTAATTTGAAATGTTATGCCTTTAATTACGTGGGTACCTAGATGTTGTTAAGCAGCTTGTTTGTTTTTTGTTGTTGTTTTTTTTTGTGTGATGCAGGTCATCCTATTATAACTTGTCGGTTGTCCTAACAGGAGCATTTACCATGTTTACTTTGCATAATCTAGGCCTTCTTATGATAATCCAAGTTTCAGGTCACCTAGACCTCAAATGGAAATAAGTTTTCATTTGGGCAACCTAGTTCAAACCCAAGACGAGACAGAGAGTGGTTGCTGCTGTTATACTAAATGTTTGTTTCTTCTTACATGGATTAAGACTCTAGTATACAGGTCCTCATAGTCATTCTTTTAAAATTGCATTTGCCTGAATTGATCCAGTTATTCTTGTCTTGTTTTATGGGCAGTTTATTACATTATAAGAAATTCACTTAAACATAGACATCTTACACATTCAGGTATTTCCCATCCAATCTTTTTTGGTAATATTCTTTACAAAGCACAAAATGTCAGTTTTACCTCAAAAGCTAACAAAACATTAAAGCAAACTTATGAAGAAGGAAAACTGTTGCCTGCAAAAAAAAAAAAAAAAAAAAAAAAGAATTGGCATTTTTGGCTTTAATATTGATTCACTTGCACAGTCTTTGCATCGGACATAAACTCATTTATTCTTAAACCAGTTGCTGGTATGATACGGGTTATGTTTCTCTAATATATTTTATGATGGTATGATACTAAACCCCCAATGGAGGGGAGGGATGGTGCTAGATATTTCATATAATGAAGACATAATCTTTCGAACAGTTAAAATAAGGTCTGGAGCTGGCATGTCAGTAACTGTTTGTAGTCCTTTGTTGTTTATGTAATATTGTCATTTTCAATTTTTTTTTGTTTGTTTCGTTACCTATTCTGTTATTGGACTCGGACTTCTGTGTGATTTTTACTGTGCGTATTGCTGTGTGTTTGTTTCTTCTTCATTGGGTTGAGATTTCAAAAAGCTTGTTTAATTTAACCCCTCTGCATTTGAGTGCCTGTTCCAAGTCTGGAGCCTCTGGCCTTTGTTAGCCTTGTATGAGTTTTTATTTTAGTTCATATATTTCGGAGTTTAGTATGACATTCATTATCACTGATCTGGTACAAATTTTTCTTATGGCCGAAGCCATTTCTGGTTTTTAGGTGGATCGTTTCAGATGCTTGGTCCCAACTGCAGATGTTTTTATCCTGCTATAACCCCACGGGAATTTATTACTGTTATTTCAGACCTTTAGTAACCGTTTAATTGTAAGTTCCATAGCACCTAGTACATACAGATTTTTTTTTTTCATGAGTTCAGATCTCTAATTGTTTTAATGAATACATTTCCTTTCTCTCTCTATGAATTGTTGAGGTATTGCTTACTTGTACATTTTGTATCTCTCTTAATAAAATTGTGACATTACTAATTTACTAGATTTGGATATTTTTTAGGAAAATTTAACAGATGTGTCAAAAAAATTTGAGGTTTGACAGTTTTTAAGGAGGTATTAAACACTCCAGACCTAAGGACAATGATTTACATTTACCTTAACCAGAGTCATGCTGAAGTCTAGCAAATATTTCCTTATCTTGTGTTGGTTAAACTTGGTATGAATTCAGTTTGTTTGAAGCTGTCTTTTCAATTGTTTTTGATGATTATTAAAGGGTCGGAGATCCAATGCTGACAACTTAATACAGGGGTTACAGAATAATTATTATTTTTCTCGATTAATTATGCTTTAAATTGTATTGGTATTACATATGTACATATACTTCCATGTAGCTAATTGCCGTACAAGAATTGTAGGAGATCCTATATAGCTATAATGTTTGGATAGTAGAATCCTCAATAGTAAGTATGTTTTTGTAGCAGACCAACATCCTCCAGATGGGGTTGACTTAGGTCTAGGCACTGAAATGAATCTTTGTGGTGGCATGATTGTCAAGCATGTTAAAAGTTAACTCAGAACAATGAAACTATGAGGATCCACCATATTTCTTAATAAAACATGTAGCTGGTAATGACACAGGTAGTTCTAGAGTGGGATTTTTGCACAATGAGATGAAGAACATGATCAGATGGATTATGCGGTTCATCAATTCTAAAGTCGTATGGTCTCAAATTTGACCAGGTTATTGCAAAGCATGGACTTGTGTTGCTATAGATCTAGAATATACAACTATATTATTGCCTTTATAATTAGCTGTTAGGGTTGCTACTTAAGATATCATGATTTTCGATCAGATCAGAAATTTTTCAACTTGATGGTTCTCACTCGTCACCCTTAACCAACATGCTTATGAAATGAATTGTTAAACATCTTGAATATTTATTTGATGATATATTATATTTTATGATATACAAATACAATCAACTATCTTATGGTTTGGTGTAGTTTTGGTTAGTATTTTTATCTGTGTAGGTAAATATGTTTTTGAACAGTTGTTCACAAAACACCATATTGATTATTTAACATATATATGTACCAAGTTGTACTTTAAATAAAATATCTATCTATCTATCTATAGTTATCTGGTTCACAGCTTTGCAGCGAACCGCCCTTTTTATGGCGGTTGACAGAGTCTCTGTTTTCCTCCGTCAATGTGGCAGAATTCGCTGCATAGAATCTTAATGTTAACTATGAAATTTTAGGTTTTTGGATAATACAGACTACACTTGTGTATCCCACGGTGTTTTCTAAATTTAAAGCACCAGTGTATCCCACGGTGCATCTTTACATTTTCATATATATCTATCTATCTATCTGCAAGGTTGCCATTTTATCTTCGGGTAACCAACCATATATCTATCTACATATACATATACATCTATCTATCTATATATATATATATATATCATATGAATCAATATTATGAATAAAAGCTGTGGCCAGATATCGCCAAACCATATATGTATTTTGTTTTAATGGCACCATCTGAGATAATTGATAAGAGTTGTAGTTTTACTAATCGATTACATCCCTTTTTGCTGTGACATTTGATTGAATATCACTCACGTTTAAAATTGAAAAATGTTCTCAAGTAAACCCAATAATTGTATTAAAGAGAATAACATTGAATTTATTGTATACAAGGCTCCGATCGTCCCTGATAAAGTTTATTTACTGTAATAACGATCTAGACTGACAGTGATAAAGGTTATTCATTTAAAATAAGGCCCTGTCCATATTAGTTGAAAGTTATTTATTGTCAAAACGATCCAAACGGTATCTAGTAAAGGTTGCTTATTGTACATACGGTTATATCACATTCTCAAAATGTCCGGCTAGAATCGACCTAAAATTATTCCTAACTTCAAGTCATAAATGCCGACAATATTTACGTCATATATATGTTCTCTATACTAAAAAGTAAAATCACAAAAATAATGAACTCCGAGGAAAATTCTAAAAGGAAAGTCCATAATCAAATGGCAAAATCAAAAGCTCAAACACATCAAACGAATGGACAACAACTGTCATATTCCTGACTTGGTACAGGCATTTTCTTATGTAGAAAATGGTTGATTGAAACTGGTTTTATAGCTAGCCAAACCTCTCACTTGTATGACAGTCGCATCAAATTCCATTATATTAACAACGATGTGTGAACAAAACAAACAGACACAATAGGTAAAAATGTCAAAAATAGGGGTACAGCAGTCAACATTGTGTTATCATCTTAATCACTATATAAACCATCTCAATCTGAATTGCAATTCTACATTCGTTTTTTATAACGCCCAATATTCTAGACATCTTCAGCCATGCATTATATGATATGAACTGTTAAAACATGATGAACTTATCATTGCTATCTTAGAATCAGGAGTATGTTACATATGAACATATCATAACCTATTTTATATTAATCGGGTAAATTGGAAAGGGGTTGGGGGTAGAAAAAGGTTGAAAATTAAAAGTATGCAATTAGTAGAAAATAAGAAATCTCTAATATGATCCATGCCTAAAGCATAGTTACCCAAGACAGTCTTCTTTGTATAATAGTGCT